GTATATTCTGGCAAGTATATTCTTGTAAGTATATTGTCACAAGTACATTCTCATGTGTATATTGTCACAAGTATATTGTCACAAGTGTATTCTCGCGAGTATATTATCACAAGTATATTCTGGCAAGTATACTCGTGTAAGTATATTGTCACGTATATTCTCACGAGTATATTGTCACAAGTATATTGTCAAAAGTATATTGTCACAAGTATATTCTTCCAAGTATGTTCTCGCGAGTATATTCTCACAAGTATGTTCTCGTGAGTATATTCTGACAAGTATATTGTCACAAGTATATTCTTGCGAGTATATTCTCACAAGAATATTCTGGCAAGTATATTCTTACTAGTATATTCTCGTGAGTATATTCTGGCAAGTATATTCTTGTAAGTATATTTTTACGTATATTCTCACGAGTATATTGTCACAAGTATATTATCACAAGTATATTTGGAGAGTATATTCTCACAAGCATATTGTGGCAATTATATGCTCACTAGTATATACTAGTGAGTATTTTCTGGCAAGTATATTCTCACTAGTACATTCTCGTGAGTATATTCTGGCAAGTATATTCTTGTAAGTATATTGTCACAAGTATATTCTCATGAGTATATTGTCACAAGTATATTCTCACGAGTATTTTCTAGCAAGTATGTTCTCACAAGTATATTCTCGTGAGTATATTCTGGCAAGTATATTCTTGTAAGTATATTGTCATGTTTATTCTAATGAGTATATTGTCACAAGTATATTGTCACAAGTGTATTTTCGCGAGTATATGCTCACAAGTTTACTCTGGCTAGTATATTCTTACAAGTATATTCTTGTGAGTATATTCTGGCAAGTATACTCTTGTAAGTATATTGTCACAAGTTTATTGTCATGAGTATAATGTCACAAGTATATTCTCACAAGTATATTTCGCGAGAATGTTCTCACAAGTATTTTCTGGCAAGTATATTTTAACTAGTATATACTAGTGAGTATTTTCTGGCAAGTATATTCTCACTAGTATATTCTCATGAGTATATTCTGGCAAGTATATTCTTGTGAGTATATTCTGGCATATATATTCTCATGAGTATATTGTCACAAATATATTGTCACAAGTATATTCTCGCGAGTATATTGTCACAAGTATATTCTCGTGAGTATATTCTGGCCAGTATATTCTTGTAAGTATATTGTCACGTTTATTCTAATGAGTATATTGTCACATGTATATTGTCACAAGTGTATTCTCTCGAGTATATTCTCACAAGTATATACTGGCAGGTATATTCTCACAAGAATATTCTCGTGAGTATATTCTGGCAAGTATATTCTTGTAGGTATATTGTCACAAGTTTATTGTCATGAGTATAATGTCACAAGTATATTCTCACAAGTATATTTCGCGAGTATGTTCTCACAAGTATTTTCTGGCAAGTATATTCTCACTAGTCTATACTAGTGAGTATTTTCTGGCAAGTATATTCTCACTAGTATATTCTTGTGAGTATATTGTCACAAGTATATTCTCATGAGTATATTGTCACAAGTATATTCTCACGAGTATTTTCTGGCAAGTATGTTCTCACAAGTATATTCTCGTGAGTATATTCTGGCAAGTATATTCTTGTAAGTATATTGTCACAAGTATATTCTCATGAGTATATTGTCACAAGTATATTCTCACAAGTATATTATCGCGAGTATATTCTCACAAGTATATCCTGGCAAGTATATTCTCACAAGTATATTCTTGTGAGTATATTCTGGCAAGTATATTCTTGTAAGTATATTGTCACACGTATATTCCCACAAGTATATTCTCACAAGTATATTCTCACGAGTATATTGTCAGAAGTATATTCTGGCAAGTATATTCTCACAAGTATATTGTCACAAGTATATTCTGGCAAGTATTTTCTTGTAAGTATATTGTCACAAGTATATTCTCAAGAGTATATTGTCACAAGTATATTCTCGCGAGTATATTATCACAAGTATATTCTGGCACATTTATTCTCACAGGCATATTCTCGGGAGTATATTCTTGTATGTATATTCTCGTGAGTATATTCTGGCAAGTATATTCTTGTAAGTATATTGTCACAAGTATATTCTTCCTATCGTACTCAATGCTGACGCTGTTCATCAGCCAACCACGTGCCAACCACGTGTTGAGGATACAACTGGGTACGTTTAGTACGCTTCAGACGTCCCCAGGGTTTAGTGTTTCCCTATTTTCTGATGGACCATACTCGACTATTTGTATAGTTTGATGTACTGAGGTAAACATGAGCTACATGACGCACTACACACCCGGCAGCTTATCTAATTGCTCAGTCAGTAAGGGCAAGTGCGCTTTGCCCACACTATTACAATCACAAAATGACACAAAACACAACGGTACAAGCACGAGTGACGTTATGATCGATAACCAAGCATTTGTCGCTACACAAAGATATTTCCATTTAGCCGCCGGTGTCTATCGATACGTTTTCATAGATGCAAATACGGCTCAAAAGAGAGCCAAACTGTAACCAAACTCCCCAGACCCTCACAACTGCAGAGCACATCGTCTATCCGTTTGCGATGGAAGCGAAATAAGTTTATTACCATTAAATTTTATTACCCTTAACTTGACTTTCGATCGCGTGAAGCAACGAGTGGATGCCCTCGGTGTGTAGGGCTAGCGTACCACCCTTGGGTACGTACGGTGTGCTCAGGCAGTCTGGTATTGTATATATATATACTTCAGAGCTACGATACTCAGATCATATTTAATGGGTCCTCCATGTTGGCCGTGAATTGGTCGCAGAACTTTGCCATGGTCTCCGAGTCGATCACCCGTTCATCGTAGGACAACTGCAGATGGCAGAGTGTGTGGATTAGAAATATGCGGACAATACCCACTCAGAAGGTACACCATGCTAACACCAATAAGGCAGAGACCCAACAAACAACGAAAGCAGAAACCCAACAAACAACGGAAGCAGAAACCCAACAAACGACGAAAGCAGCTGTAGAATCAACTCCAGCCCCAAAGCACAGGCTGAGGCATATTCGAAGCGAAAGGCAGAGCGCGCAGCAGATACACGGAGTGGGTGCGAGTGGGTTCCCATACCCTGCAAGTCATCAGTTCGGCAGGTACGTATGTGGGGATACCATCCACAGCCTCGCCGGCCTTGAACACCTTGCGGCCACCTCCGACAGCCATGATAGCGGCTTGCGGGGGGTTGATGACGGCTGCGAACTCAGCCACGCCAAACATACCCAGGTTGGATACACTGTAACGGGATAGCAATGGAACAGGCGGCTCACGCGGATGAGTATGGAGGAGAGGCTAGGCCTGATGATGCGATTAGCTTATAGTGCACCGTACAGGTGGTGCGTGTGATGGGGTGAGTTTAGTGCAGGGGTAGGGGAGGCTGGGCCTGATGATGCAGTTAGCTTATAGTGCACCGTACAGGTGGTGCGTGTGATGAGGTGAGTTTGGTGCAGGGGTAGGAGAGGCTAGGCCTGATGATGTGGTTAGCTTATAGTGCACCGTACAGGTAGTGCGTGTGATGGGGTGAGTTTAGTGCAGGGGTAGGGGAGGCTGGGCCTGATTATACGATTGCACAGAATAGTTGATACACATTTGGTATGTACGGCATGAAGTTGATGGTAAAACTAGTAGGGGACGTGCTGGGGGGAGTGCTCGTGATCTACTACACCTCCCTATAACACCATAACATCCGCCAACTTTTCGAAACGCTTCGAAGATCCGGGTGAACCTGTCAATAGAACCATGCACTCACTCCGATCCCATACACACACACCTGAAGGATCCTCCCTGGTACTCCTTGGGCTGCAGCTTGCCCGCCTTAGCCCTACCAGCCAGCTCCTTAATCGCACCGGAGATACTGCGCACACTGCGACCGTTCGCCTGCGTGACAATGGGCGTGATCAGTCCCGTGGGCGTTGCCACGGCAACGCTAATGCCAATGCTATCGTTCTCCTTGATGGCGCCGTCCTTCTGTAGTTGACAGTTGACCCCCGGCACTTCGCTGATGGCCGCTGCACAAGCCTTGACCACTGTGTGTGTGGTGTGGTGAGTAGTTAGAAGCGTGGGCTGTGCAAGGTGTCATCTTAACAACTGTACCACTGAGTGTGTGGTGTGGCGTGGTGAGTAGTTAGAAGCGTGGGCTGTGCAAGGTGTCATCTTAACAACTGTACCACTGTGTGTGTGGCGTGGTGAGTAGTTGGAAGGGTTGTGACAGGTGTAATCTTATCAACTGTGTGTAAAAGGGCTGTTGTTTGGGGAGTTAAGGGTGGGTAACGTCTTTTGTATTGGCATCACTAATCTTGGAGTTACTATGCTTACAAGGGAGTCTATGAGTGCGCAATCCGCACTGTTAGGTATGGACAATATAGTGATGATATGGCAGGACTAACTTGTATTAAGGTGTACACTATACGTTATAAGTGTGTATTTATGAAGTCTCTATCTAGCACACGAATGCATGATGGGGTTTTAGGGTTTACTAAACCCTAACCCCCCCCTACGCGATGCCTATGATAAAGCAGATGATTGGAGTGCGGAAAGTTGTGTACGTGTTGATACTGTGGCAATCAGGGGTGTGCCAGAACGACCACCAAGCACATCACCCACTCCTTCAACAGAAACTGTGTGTACGAAGAATAATTACAAGCAACCCACACTATCCTACATGTGATAGTCAGTCGCAACCCACACTATCCTACATGTGATAGTCAGTCACAACCCAAACTATCCTACAAGTGATAGGCAGCCGTAACCCACACTATCCTACAAGTGATAGTCAGACGTAACCTGGCCGTGCGATGCGAGTGGTACATCCCATATGTCACTCAAGTATATTGTCTGCAAGCATTCAAGCATTTCTTTGCCGTGGTTAAAAGTGAGCGCAGCTTTCAACAACAGACAAACAAGTGTGCGGGACAACTGTAGCTTGCGTGATACCACTACTTCTCGGTAGTGATACGTTCCATCACACACCAGCACATACCAAAGTCGTTGACGGACACCTTGACGCCTTGCTCTTTGAGGTTGGCACGCATCTTAGCAACGTTGGTGAGATCGCACTCCAGAGTCATGTATGTGTGGGGGATAGTGGTCTTGGATTCTAACAGACGCGAGCCGATGATCTTTCGCATGTTGGACACAGGCAAATCCTCGTACTCTGCAACTCACAAGGTAATGACCGAACAAACCGGCAGATAATGTTAATGAGATGCGGAGGGAACCGAAGGCAGTGAGTGTGTTTGGCACGAGATAAAGCTGACTTGAGATGATGGGTAGCCTCTGAGGGAGGTGTGTGCTACGATCCCGTAGCTACCATCGTACATATTCACTATAAGCAGAGAATCACACAAGGCCATCCTTAGGCTTGGCATTATATGTTACAATTAGCTACCATCGTACATATTCACTATAATCAGAGAATCACACATGGTCATCCTTAGGCTGCCATCGTACATATTCACTGTAATCAGAGAATCATACATGGTCATCCTTAGGCTTGGCTATATGTTACAATGCAATTGCGGATCTTCATCGCGCGTGCATTGATCATTGGCACATAGTGGAGTGGTGCACTTTGTATTGTCAATGCTAAGGTAAGCACCATCCCATGATACCACTACAGTCCAATACATATGCATACATAGGACTCGTGGCTGTCGAGGTGCGCTTGCGAGAATGATCAGCCGGGAAGACTCGTGGTATGTAAGTCAACACCAAGACATCCGCTACTTACATGACGTTGTGCAGATGAACAATCAAGAAAATAAGACATGTTTCTAAAGTGCATTGTACGTAAATTCTGATTGAGAACACTTTTGGGGAGAGGGGAGAGGGGCGGGGGGCGGGAGGCGGGAAGAGGAACCCGGAACTCCTATCAAAAGCATATATCTGCTGTTTCATCACAGACCCTACCTACACAAGTCGGCACAGACTCTTCCTACACAATTACTAAATAGGCCGGCACATGCAATCCAGATAACTGTACCCACCTGCATCAGCGGCGGGTGCGGCTGACTTGGCTGGCGCACTCTTAGACGCAGTGCTGGGGGCAGCCTGAGACGATCCGCTGGAAGACTGGGCGCCTACTTTCTGTCCAGTTTCCAAGAAATTGAGTACATCTCCCTTCAAGAGGTGGCCTTTAGGGCCTATATGCGAATAGATGACGGATAAGCATGCAAGGTAGGGTAGAGGGTTTAGCAAATGAATGCACCTGTATGATTATATGATGGATGAGAATATGGTGTATTGTGGGGTGTTTAGCAAATTACACCGATGGCTGATGTGAAACGGCAAACAATGCATGTAGACACGTAGTGCACACACCAATCACAGGAGTCTCTACAGTGATGCATACCGCTAATCCTGAGTGAACACGCAAACAAATGCAAATACACGCACGCTACACACATCTGTGGCAAAAATGCGAGCCACAATGGAGTCATGCTTGTTGTATACGTAGACGTACCCACAAAAAATATATGCACTGACCCTGTACACGCAAACAGATACACACAGCACACACTACCAACGCAAAACAGTCACAAACCCCCTACAGAGCAACAACAACAACAACAACAACAACAACAACAACAACAACAACAACAACAACAACAACAACAACAACAACAACAACAACAACAACAACACACTGCACATACCCGTAGCAGGGATCTCAGCCACATTGAGGTTGTGTTTCTGTACCAATTGGGCTACCGATGGCAATAGTGTGGAGCGTGTTGCTGCGTGTGAGTCATCATCGCCGCCGCCAGACGACTGAGCTGGTGCGGGTGCCTCGGCTGATTCTGAGGCTTTCTCTGCAGGCGCCTCGGATGAGGCTGAGGCGATTCGTGCGTACGTAAAGATATAATAAAGGTGTATGAGTTTCGTAGTTGGTTTAAGTATGTAGGTATAGATATAGAATTGGCTGCAACGCTATAGACATATATCTAGCTACTTAGCTCAAGTGTAAAGGGTATGGCTTGCACCTAGGCAGTGCGGCTAGACAGGCATACGTGTTTTAACATTGGAAGAGTACGAAAATCGATCATGTACGTGTTTAATGTAGTTTATGTCCTCATGTACGCGTGATTAAATAGGCGCGTGGTATGTATGTATATATATATATATATATATATATTATACCTACGTACATATACACCTACACAGGTACTCTGATGCAGATAGATACCCACATGCATACCTCCTGCGTCGTCGTCGGCAGGGATCTCTACGTTCTTCCAGTCTTCACCCTCCTCAACCATCAGAGCCACATTTTTATTCACCTGCACCGGAATGCAATGACATCGCAAATGTCTCAGTGACCAATATAACTGCCAGCGTAGCACATTCATACACCGTGAAAACGACGCACCATTCCTACCTGGTGTGCTTTCGTATCACACCCACCTTAAGCCTCATCAAGCAAACGACATGTATGTACCCACGGGGCATGATACGTTCTACGGCCGTGCGCAAGTGTGAAGCCGGGAATGACCACTAATCTCTGGCAGGTGTTACAAGGCACACACGCTCCCGATACATACCGGTGTCTTGACATCAGTACTAGCGGGTACCAGGATCTTGGCAAGAATACCATCGTTATTGGACTCCACCTCCATGGTGGCTTTGTCTGTCTCCATCTCAAACAGCACATCCCCAGCTTCAATGGACTCGCCCTCCTCAATGCACCACTTTGAGATCACTCCTTCCGTCATCGTAGGCGACAGAGCCGGCATGACTACCTTTGTGACTGTGGTTAGAGGTGAACGGGATAAAACTTAATTCACGTGCATGTGCTGTTTATATGTATCTACCAATAAACACAGTCGATGGCGTTTAGAATGTTTGTTTGGGAAATTGGGATGGGACCCTGAACGGTACAGTTCAAAGGTATGCATATAAGCGTATGTATCGATTTATAGTTGAAAATAAGTCTTCATTCATGAATAAATGCCAACAAAACCGTATATATATATATATATAAGGATATGTATATGCAAATACACACACACACACACGTATATGTATATATATACACACATACATATTATAGTCAGATATTTGGATATATACATATGTAGATATATAGTTGTATACACATAAACTAAATATATATATATACATATATTCAAATATATATATATATATATAGTTTAAGTAAATACATATATTTAAGAAAATATATATGCATCCATCCATAAATACATACATACATACACACACACACAAACGGACACAAACAAACTAAACACACATATACACGCGCGCGCGCACACGCACAAAGCAACGCTCCCGAATGGACGCACAAAGGCACCCACATACAAACATACACACACAAAAAAGAGACAGAGACACACATATATATAGGCACATACATAAACACACGGAAGCATGTTTGCATACATGCATACATAGGTCATGCATATATATATATATATATATATTATACATATAATATATATACGCATAATATATATGTATATATGTATGTATGTGAGTATGTGTGTTCGAATGTGTGTATGTATGTATGTATGTATGCATGTATGTATGTATAAATATAGATATATATATATTTATATATATGTGTGTTTTTATCGAACTTTTCTGTCTGTCTGCCTCTATCTATATATGCACATATATACATATACATATAAACATAAATATAGCAATACGTACACATATACATAAATACATATACGTATATATATATATATATATATATATATATATATATATATATGTGTGTGTGTTTGTGTGTGTATGTATGTGTATTTGCGTAAGTATGTATATTTGTATATGTATATTAATATATATAATATATATATACAGTGTGTGTGTGTGTATTATACATACATACATACATACATCCATTCATGCTTCATGCATACATACATACATACATACATACATATACATATATATATATATATGTTTGTGTGTGTGTGTGTTTGTGTGTGTGTGTGTTTGTGTGCTTGTATGTATGTATACTATATATATTGTTGTATATTTGAGATACCAAAAGTATGCCTGTAGAATCATGTACAAACGTATGTTGCACATTGATTGATTATGTATACTATCACTCTACAAAATAATATGAATCAGTTCAAAATCTACGTGGACATACCATATTCTCTGGTGTATACCACCCCCATTCCAACAGCTCCACGCCATTGTGATTGCTGTGTTGAAGGTATTGATCTATATGCGTTGGCGCCCCTTCTCACTCCTAGAAGTACAGACTGCATCATATTGGCTTTGCGGTATGCTCTCTATCTGTAGTCGAGCTCAGCTCCTCTATATACCTTGTGTCAGCTATATTGCGATAAACCCTGGTAATAGCTGTTATCGCGTTTGTGTATGCGTATACTGATATGACTGCGAGTGTTCGCTTTGAAGAAAGGACCACTGTAGAAACTTGAGAGTCGAGAGCCTGCACCAAGGCTGTATTACGGACCGGGTGTGTTCCAAATTAGGTAACTAAGTGTTAAAATATAGCCCTCAATAGAGCCCGATATTTTCGTGGATTTTCCCTCAAAAGTCGGAAGTAATTAAGGCAAAATTTTTGTTGTAGAAAAGTATGATTGAATATTTTTCAAAAAACAAACTGTTACAAGGTTGACTCATAGGCTTTTATATCACCTTATCGAAAGGCATCATCAAAATGAACAGACGGTAAAGTAATGTATGCGAATTCTCTACAAATACAAGGGTATGTACTGTGCAGTGTACACAATCCACACCCCACGATCTAAGCTAACATGATTTTGAGGACTTGTAATCTCTAGTGCTGAGATCAAATACTATCTGCCAGTTCTCCAGCGCATCTGGCGAGCTCCAGTTTGAAGTGCAGCAACATGTCAAAAAAAAGCGAGACAAGGTAAACTATACAAATCAACGGTGTGTACACAAGAAATGGACAGATATATGAAAGAATACATAACACAAACCCACGCCAACAAAAAGGCGCATACACAGATTAATGTACTGAATATATATATATATATATATATATGTGTGTGTATGTTTGTGTGTATGTTTAAGTTTATGTATCTATATATATATATATATATATATATATATATATATATATATATATATATATATATATATATATATATATAGTATGTGTGTGTGTGTGTATATATA